AACATTTATGCTTAAATTACCTAACATTTTGAAATAAAAACCTTTTATTATACAGATCTCGAGATACTGCAAGAAATCCATGAAATTGAAGTTAAATATTTCAAAAACCCAAATAAATGCTTCTTAATGAGAAATATATTTAGTTCCTACCAAATATAATTAAAACTTGCATCAGAGCTGTGTTAATGTATGCCTTAGGGAACAAACATGGCCGTCGTCTGTTTGTTTGCGCGTTGTTTTTGTTTTGCTGAGTATTTTTAGCCTCCTGTCTTCCTGCTGCGTACCGAGGGGAGCAGCTGAGGGAGTGTCACCGCCCATCCACCGCTCCAGATGACAGGGAGTGAAACAGGTCCAAGCCTCCTAATTGTCCTGGAGCTAATAATAAAACTCGCATCTGAACCGATTTCACGCAGCATGTTTAGGTGCAGGAACAGGCGAACCACTGGAGGTTAGCAGAGTTTCCTTCTGGAGGGCACATTTACTTTTAAAAGAAGCAGTTCGCAAAATTCTGCTGTGGTGGCTCTCATTTCTGATCTCCAAATTACCTGGATTCATTATTTATGCACCAAAGAGGAAATTTTACTAGTTTGGTTTAGGGCTGAAGGGATTAATCACGATCCAGTCAACGATTAATCATCGTTGACTGGAAGCCATTTGCTGGAAAAACTCAACATATTCAGACCAGCAATTATACCAAATCTGTACAAATATTATACATTTTGTATTTTAGATTAATCATGATTATTCGATTATTGATGTTTTCAATTAATTTAGTTATTTGTTAACTGGAATATACAGACACAAAAAAGGCAATTTTCTGGAAAAAAAATCTCATTCAGAAAAGTTAAAAACTATATAAATATATATATCAGTGACATGCAGTCAGGGGAAAATATGGAAAAATAATATATAATAGTAAAATCATTTATAAAGATATTTTCACCCTGTGGTTTGTACTATAATGTACCTATTTTTTCATTTAATTTAACCAAATCTGATGTTTTTTTCCTTCAAAATCGCTGAATTTTCGCATTTTCCCATTCAAATGCTCAGAAGCGAAGCCGGTGAGGCAGCAGTGAGCTGAGCCTCACCTGGGATTGCGCAGCCTCTAGCTAACTGCACTGGCTGCCACTCTATGAGAGCAAGTTCGTCCTGTCTGTACGCCGCCAATAAAATGGTTAAAAACATTTAATGTATTAACTGATTTTCAATAATTTAGCTTATGTATTTAATGTACTGTGTTTTTATTGTCACCAACTGTGTGTAACGTGTTTCATGTGCTGAGGATCAGAAACGGCAGAGAACAGATTCAAAGTGAGGCAGGCAGTTCTCTTGCCTCATCGCTGGGGGCGCTCATGAACCCAGACATTGTGACTCCACAACTGCAGAGTAAGAGACGGTAACAACGAGCTAGCTATACAGTAGCTGCGCTGATACAGAGAACGAGAAAGACGTGGTTTTGAGTTGTACTTTAACGGTTTCTCCCTTTGCTGTTAAGCACAGCACAAAATTAAAAATATCTACATGTCTAAGTTTGATTGAGATAACGGGATTATTATGCGGCGCGGCTAAGCATCACATGTTAAAGAATAGTCTTTTTGCCCTCCAGCATTGTACGCATGCGCGAAATTTCCTTAGGTAAACAATAACATGCAAAGGTCTAGATTTGTAAATCAGATTATAATTAAGTCACCTGGTTCAGACTTATCAAAGGAATGTTGTTACTCCATTTTAGGCAATAAAATTAAATTTTCTTACTTAAAAATATTTATTCGTTTATTTTAATGCATTTCTAATATTGTGGCAAAATGAAAAATCTGTAGAGTGAACCTTTGTTTATATGATTAATCGCCAGAATAATCAATTAATCGATTACTAAAATAATCGTTTGTAGCATCCCTGGTTTAGTTGTATATGTTCTATGCAGAACGACTCGTCTCCACTGTGGTTTCCTGTTTGTAAACGCTGCCAGTTCCCATCTATCCAGACCTGTAGCTTTTAATTAGCCTCAGGTACCTGCAGACACACACACTTTTCAGTTTCACTCATCTGTCCGAGTTACACTCGAAGAAACGGACAGCTAGTAAGTAGGGCAAAACCATGGATACAGCAGCAGCAGCAAGACGCTTAATGTCTTTACATCAGTGCAGATTTTATTACTTTTGGTTTTGTTTTTGCTTTTTTCTGATGCTCTTCCTCGAAATGACAATGACCTGATATATGAACTCTTGGCTACAGTGAGTGAAGCGTGTTGGTATTATTTTAGTTATTTCTTGGCTGTTTTACTGAAATGGAAAGCAGCTGCTGTTTGATGTCGCCTGATGTCTGTTTTTAATACACAGACAAAATTTTCACACATTTTTAAATCTTTAATTTAAGGATGTTCCTTCTGACTAATAATTTGATTTATTCCATGCAGGTTTGATGATCTGCTGCTTTTTAGACACATTTTAAGTGTGAAACCTAGTTTTATTAGAGCTGATATTTGTGTAGGTCTGCAAGAAAATATTTTGACATCATTTGTTTGCTGGGTTGTGGTGTTTTGTGTACTTCTTATATGTATTTAATATAATTGTGAGAATGTTATTTTTATTTTTTGTAGGTCTGAACAGCAGCGTATTAGGGCCACTGTAGATAGCTCTTTTAATTGACATTTAGTGATTTTTGTGATGTAAAAAATAAAATAATAAAATAAATAAAAATAAGGGATTAATCTTAGAAATTTTATAGAAAAAACTTGGAAAATTCTAAGTTTGAAAAGTTGACCATTTGTTGAAAAAAAAAAAAAAAAAAAAGCTGAGATTCAAAAGAAAAAAAATTCAATTTTTGAAACTCAGAAATTTTGGGGGGGGTTAAGAAAATTTCTGAGATTAATCTCAGAAATTTCTGAATTTTTGCTCGATGTGATAATGGTGAACTCATCTATACTGTTTATCTGCCATCTACAGTGGCTATGCTAACTAGCCTTAGCGTCACAACAGGCTATGCTAGCTGTAGTGTAGCAGAGAGCAAGAGGTGCCACATGAGATTGATTGACAGCAGTAAGTCCCGCCTCCTGGCTCTGATTGGTTGGCGATGGTTTCATCAAATATGTAATTCAACTGTTACTTACTGTTACTTACTGTTTGAATTAAAACAATTTCTGCAATATGAGACAATAAAAAAATAAACATTAACTCAAAGGAAAGACAATATTAGACTTTGAAAATGTCTACTGCTTTAATTCATACATTAGATATTTTTACTGTCGCCTGGATTTTGTTCCTGCTTGCAGCTCAGCTCTTATGTAAGGCTGGGTTTGTTTTGCTGCTCTTTCGCCTGAGGTGCTCTCATTCTCAGCATCACCACAGCCATGCTCTGCTGCAAAGTCGGGGCAGCAGCAGCTCTGAAAGGGCAAAACCCAATTCTGTAACCCGAGCGCAGTGGAGGGGAAGAAAAGAAAAGGATTCAGGGAGGAGGAGCAGAGTATTCGGCCTTGTTCATGCAACACGCTGCAAGGATTTCTGAGGGTATGAGTTTGTCTGCTGGGTTGAAAAATCTGTTCAACACCTGAGCCCAGAACGACCCAGATTATTGTGTAACCTCCATGTTTTATGCTGTACAGATGAGACGAACGAAAGCCGCTCCAGCGCAGATGGAAGCGATGCTTTTCAGTGATTTTTACAGGCAGAATTACAGTCGAGAGAAAAATGGGATTTATTTATCATTTAACTCTTCCTCTCATTTCTCTTTACTGTGAACTAAGAATACGTTTTAGATCATGTTTCACCACAAAGCCAAGGCTCAATACTTCATGTCATTCAAAAATCTGCTGATCTCTGGTAGCAGTCAGTATTGCAGCAAGGCTGAGGAGGCCTCTAACTTAAGACAGCTACTGTTTGACTGTCTGGACGTGCTAATGGCTTGATTTTCCCTCAATAAAGACAATGTTCTACACTAACATGTTCTGGATGATCAGTTGTTAAGCTGATCCACCTCATTTGCTTTTGCTGATCCATCTAGAAAACCAGGCAAAGAAGCAAAACCTGAATAATCTGATCCATCATCCTCTGGAAACACATTTCTTCCACTATTTTGAAATATCTGCAGGATTTTATTTTCTATATTGCTGTGGAGTAAATTTTTGGGGGTCAAAAACCCAAAGTTGAAAGTTCTCAGGGGCCAAAATTATTATTTTTGCAAAGAGAAAAAGTGATTATTGTGAATTCATTCTTTCTCCTTTGGCTTCACAACTATACATTAAGTAAGTTAAATTTGAATGAAACCAACATTTGTCTTAATGTTTGGCCAATTATTATCTACTTTGTTGGTTCTATAAAATGTTTTAGTTCATTTCCAGCAACAAAAATAAAACATTTTCAAACTTTCCCTGCTTAAAATGTTGCTGGATGTTTGTGGCGTGACTTTCTATGAAATAAAAATAAAAGCAAAAAGGAAAGAAATTGTTGTACATTTTACATTTAAGCTTGCCGTGGAAATTTTGTTGTTAAAAAAATTACAGGAAGTGTCCATCTGCGTCGACTCCATTTGCATCATTCAGGGATTGTTGGCCCTAATCCACTGAGAAATTTGTTTTGAGTTTTTATAATAATAAAATTTTATGTTTCCTCCACAATGACGACTTTTACAGTAAACTCTTTGGATTTAACAGAGTTTAGACTAAATCTGATTGCCGTTTTTGCCTTGTATTTAAATGAGCCTGCAGCTGTACTAGATGGCACTTTGTGAGCATAGAGAGATAAGAAAGCAAAAAGGTAAATTGTCTTAGCTTCATAAAACGATAATGAGCTCCTGGATTTGCATTTTGCAGTCTTTGTTTTTTTGTTTTTTTTATCTCCCAGTGCAGAGCAAAGTAAACGGCTTTTATTTGCAGCTGGAGGTTCTGTGAAAATGAAAAAAAAAAAACATTTTTGAAAACGCTCTTATTCATTTGTTTGTGAACACAGAGACAGCTGCATGCCATTTGTCCCGATATGAATCTTCTGCGCCCCTTTCTGCAGCAACACCTGGATCAGGTGTGGAAACAAGAACGACTGATTATGATCATCTGCAGGTGAGAGGAGAGAGTTTATCAGGCTGTGGAGGAAGTTTCAAATGTTTACCATCACCTGGGATCCGAGAAACACGTTTCTCACATTTTATTCTGACAGCAATCTATGACGGCGCATTTTAGACAGAAAAGAAACAGGAGTACATTCCTGCCAAAAAACTCATATTGTAAGATTAATCTCAGAAATTCTAGAAAAAACAATACATTTCTGTTTGAGAGAAAAAAAATCTAAGAAATTTCTAGAACATGGAAATTTCTGAGCTCCAAAAGTCCAAATTTTGCAAAAAAAAAGGAAAAAAATCTGAAAATTTGAAATTAATCTCAGATATTTTCTAGAAAAAAAAAACTTTTGCTGTTTGGTGCCACTCAGAAGTGAAAATACTTCTACTGCTGCATAATCCAACATGTTGAAGCAGAAGAGTAAGCCCAGAGCATCATACTGCCATCACCATGCTTTTCTGAAATGCTGTTAGCTTTATTTCAGATGTAAAATCACAAAAAGTTCTCATTTGTCCACAGAATATTTTCCTAAAAGTCTTCAAAGATGTTTTTGTTCATTTATTCCTCATAAATAAATTAGATCATCTTTTAAGAATATATATTTTTGTATTTACTCAGGTTTTATTTTCTGATACTTAAAATTAGTTTGATCTGAAACATTTGACAAAAATCACACTAATTCATTTTTAACATCAATGTATAAACAAACAGTGCTGTAAAAGTTACTAAAGGTTAAGTTTGGAATTTCACAACTTAGTGAGAAAAAGAAAAATATTCTTAAACTCTAAGTTTCTGGTTCAATATTTTCTTTTTTGTGTTTTGCAATGTAGAAAAATTTTATATTATGCACATATATTTATATGATAGCTTAATTTATTGTTTAGTTTGGGTTATTTTAAAGTGTTTTTCATGGGTTCTTGTTGTTCTGGTACTAATAGGAGCCTTCAGTCTTGAGACATTTTGCTCTGTTATCAGTTCCTGCTCAAATGGAGCTTTGAGGAAGTCATTTTTTAAATAATTTTGTGTTTTCTGTACCTTGACAAGTTCTTGTGTCCTTGCAGGCATGTCTGTAGTTATTTTTTGACGAGATTAGTCAATTCTGAGTCATTTTGTGTCTTGTTGGAATTACACGTGATCCTTTCTTTCTCTATCTCGTTTTGCTATTTATTTTTTCTTCTTTAAACTCATTCTAAGTTGTCTCTTTGTCTTGTTGCTGTGCAGTTTTGGTAATTTTGTTGTGTCATGTCTGGGTCTTTTGATAGTTTGGAGTCACTAAATTTGTTGTTTTTGAGTCATTTTATTCAGTAATTAGAGTGAATTAACTAAAAATATTATTAGCTAAACACAGACTGGCTCAGGAACTAAGTCTATAACCAAAACACTGCAAATTAAGAGGAAGAAATGTAAATATATTTATAATTAGACTGATTGAGAAACGAAACCCGATTACAGAAGATGAGAATGACGGTTGAGCTTTTTTTTTTTTTGCAGTTAATGTCTGTTGAAATGTGGCAGACATGAGAGCGACATTTCCAGTTTCCCCACACCAGAGCAACATATTGGAACTTGTTGAAAAAGCTCAGGGGAATCTGGGCCGCAGCCATTAAACCAGAACTCTGTTAGAGGAGCAATAAATTGTGGGGATTATTACAGAAAGTTTCCTCCAGAGTTTAAGAACCGCTTGACTTCAGAGGCTTAGGAAGAGGAAGTCAGGACTTCATATGCAGGGCCGGGTTTCATTCTATAAAATGTGTGAGACGCGCAGTGAACTGTGACCAGCGCTGACAATCCCAATTCTGCAAACATTCTTCATCTTTTTCTTAAAGTGTTCAAAGCGTTGGTGGATAAAGAAATGATGGGTAACTCGGAGATTGCTCAGAAAATGTTACATTTTAAAATAAAACACAAATGCAAAACAGCGGGCATAGAAAAGCTAATGAATAAGTGACTCCTTCACGTTAGAAAAAGATAAATAAATATTTTCACTTCCAACGACCACAGGAAACCGTCCAAAACATGAAGTTTACCAACTTTTCTAATGAAATGCTGCCAAACCCCCCTTACCCTCAAAATAAGCATACAAGCATGAACAAACAAAGCAGAGATGCAATAAAACGGCTCCAAATTTAGCATCAAAACCTCACAGTAGTTTTGTTTTGCTCTTTCCCCTGTATTGCGTCAGATTACTGATGATTTCTGAACATCTTAAGGTTGTACTGGCCTGCAAGTCTGAACCAGAAGTGACCGGCGCCATCTTGGTGAGCAAGCGCAGCGGAAAGCAGAAATGAACCTCGGCCAACAAAAATAAAGTATAATGACACTTCTGACTGAAGTGCCAGAGACATACATATCAACAAAATCACCGCTTTTGGGATCGGCCCTTAGATACAGAGAATGTGGCTTGTTTGTTGTTGTCATAACAACTCCCTAGCAACTGTCACGACAGTTAGTTACCGATACAAGTGTTAGAAAAGAACACGCAAATACTTGAGAGCCCTCTAAAAGCAGTCATAGGTGCCTGCATTAGTAGTTCAAGCAACAAATATACGTGAATAGTCATTGATACACAGAGTGGGAACTATGTTAGCAAAAAACAAACAAAAAACAAAACAAAAAAACACCTATGTTAGCAATGCCGCACAAGCTAACATTCATGGTCGTCCGTATCTCCGTTCTTGGCCAATCAGCGCCAAGGAGATTCTGTATACACGTTCACACTACTCTGTTTAAAATAGCAATAAATCTGATTATAGTAGGGCTGCAACAAAAAAACATTTTTTCTAGAGAATTTGAGGTAAAGTTAAAAATTTCAGAGTACTTTGCCAGAAATTTCCCTTTTTTTTTTTTTCCTTTAATCTAATTTTGAGATTTTCTAGAAAACACAAGGAAACAAAAGTCAGAAATTTTGAAATGGTAGGGTTTCTGAGATTAATCAAAAAAAATTTCAAAGCCTTTTTTCTATTATATTTTAGTCTTATGAAACTCAAAGATTTCTGAGATTGATCTCAAAATTTAAGTTTTAGACTTTTCGAAATCAGATTTTTTTTTTCTAGAATATTTCTGATGGGGCTATTTTGCTGGAATTTCCCTCCTGTTTTCTACAAACTCAGAAATTTTGAGATTAATCTCTGAAATATTATAGAAAAAACAGGAAATTTGAATTTGAAAAATCCTAAAATTTGCCAGAATTATTTTTAAATTTTGAAGCTCAGAAAAATTCCAAGTTTCTTTCAGAAAGCTCTGAATTTAACCTAAAATTTCAGCTTTTTTTTCTAAGCAAACTTGGAAATGTTCAAGCTCAAAATTTGAGGGTTTTTTTTTGTTTTTTTTTTGAAGAAATAAATGTATTTCTCCTTTTCCCTATGTACTCCAAACTCAGAAATTTTGAGATTAATCTCAAAATTTTCTAGAAAAAAAACGTGGGAATTTTCTGAGCTTCAAAAGTAATATATATATATATATATATATATATATATATATATATATATATATATATATATATATATATAGTTCCTTGTTGAGTTTAATTTATTTATTTTTTTTATTTTACTTTTTCTTTATTTTTTACAAATTTGACTTCTCAAACTCAGAAAATCTGAGGGTTTTTTTGGCAGAATTGTACACACTAGTTACTTTTTTATTTATAATGGCCCTAATACGTAGTCGTAAACTCCTGCTAGAGGTGGTATTTGAACGAAAGTGCATTTAATCAGCACCAGTGGTGTGAACTTGAGGAGAAAACCTTCTCCGCCTCTCCATCCTCTCTGCTGCTGGGCGCTGGACTCACCAGGTCTTTGGAGGTTCCGAGTCTCTTGAGTCCGTCCAGGGGCAGCAGGTCAGCCGAGTCCTTGTGTGTGAACTGGGTGGCCTGTTTTAGGCGCCTCTGCTGATGCAGGATGGCTTTGTCCCGGATGGCCAGCTCTCCTTTCTTCGCCTCACTCATGCTCTCAAACTAGGCAGCTGTCTGTGCAGCAGACGGGCTGGATGTCACGGTTTCCGGTCTGCTTTATCGTCCCCTGGTTTTGTAGAATAAATAACCAGATATTCCTCTGTCTGGTCAAATCCTGCTCCTGTCTCCTCTCATGTACTTTTCCTGAGCGCTCCTCGGATGTAGAGCTGCATCTTCCTCTGAGATCTGCTCCCTCTGACTGAGAAGGAGAAGAAGAAGAAGGTGGGACTAATAAGTCTGTGCGCGTCTTTTCTACCCTCCCCTCATCGCTGCCGTCCTTGGATTTCTCCGTTTGCTCACCATTCGGAGCACATCTTCCCTGACTTTACTGAAAAAAAAGACAGCTTTTCATGCATTAAAAAATAAAATAAAATCATGCCTCCTGCGGTGCTTTTGCAGCTGGATCTGACCTCACATTGAGGATCAATCTGGCAGATATTGATTTCCTCTGTCCCTCCCTCTGAGTGCCACAGCTAAAACCAGAATCCAATTTCTCCCGTCCATTCACTCTATAAATATCCCATCCAATCTTTGTCCGTGACCTCTAGACGATGACACGCTGAAGATGCTGCGGATTTAATGAAAAACAACAACATAACTCTGTTCAGCACAAACACGCATGTGAAACGTTTCATCTTTAGGATACAGATGTTTTTTTTGTTTTTGTTTTTTTACGGAGTCCTTGTGAAGGTGAAAATACAGCGCGCATTTAAAGGTGGGGAGATATTTAAAAGCAAGTGCTGCCCCCTGCTGGTTGCATGTGTAAGTCTGATTTTTCCTACTAAATTACATAAACCCTCATATTTAGAATAATGTAGATTTAAATTTTAGTTTGAATCAAAATTAAATGAGCAGTAAATAAGTTCACAAGGTTTGAAGTGTTTGATGAGTGAGGAAATATGAGCAAACACTGCAAAAACATAAAATCTTACCAAGTATTTTTCATCTAGTTTCTCGTGCAAATATCTTACTCCACTTAAAAAGACAAAACTAAGAAGTAACTTTTCATTTAGAAGTAGGGGCTTGTTTTAACTGATTACTTAAAAAATACCAGTTAAATTGGCAGATTATTAAACTTATAACAAGACATTATAATAAGTGAAATAATCTGCCAATGAAACTAGAACTTTTTCATCAATGTTAGGGAATTATTGGCTTTGAACGAGCTCCTATCTCTTGCTGAAAAGTTAGTTTTAAGTTAGTTTTGTCTTATTTCAAGTGTACTAAGATATTTTCACTGGAAATTAGTAAAAAAATAGTTGGTAAGACTTTGTGTTTTTGTACTGCATTCAAAAAAAGAAGCAAATCAATTATAAAAGCCCAAAATTTAATCTAGGAAACTAATTATTAAAGTGGGATTTTTACATATGGATTATTTAAAGTTAATTGAAATATCTGTAAATCAGGCTTAACAGCTGTTTGGTTTACTTAACCTTTTCTAAGGATAATTCAAATTAAATATTAACATGTTTTTCTTTTGGTAACAGGAACCAACCTGCAGTTGCAGAGGAAATCTTAAACATCCTCTCCAAATGGTAAGAAAAACTAAAGAGTATTACAAAATCTGCAGCTTTTGTTTTATAAACAAGTGAAGAAAACAGAGATCAAACCCAGAAGCTTTATTCTGCAACAAAAAACAAAAATCCAATCTCCATAAATACTGCACTTATTACACAGGACGATCAGAGGTTCATGTCACTGCTCAGCAAACATCCACTGTAACAAAAACAGAAAATAAAAACAGCAGTTTTTGGTCAGATGCTGGCGCTGTAACAGAGTCTTGCATTTTGTGTTTTTTTTCCTTAATGGTTTCACTGCGGTTGCAGAAGGCACATCTGGGACGTTTATTTAGTTTATCTCAGGAGAAATAAGACTGAACAAGGCGCTTTGTTTCCCGACGCGTTCAAGGACCCCCCGTTCTTGTTAAAGTGTCGGCATAAACCGCAGCTCTGTCCCTGATTAGGTGTGAACAGAAACATAAGAAATGCAGCTTTAAAGTTTGGGGGAGGAAATAAAAACATGTAGCAAAATGCCATATTTGGAGTGTAAACATCAGGATTTTATTCAAAATATCTCCTTTTAGCCTCAAGTGCTCACTAATTATTTACATTAAGGTCAGAGGTGACGTCACACTGTGTGTGTTAAGAGTCTCTGATGTGAAACCAGACTTTAATATTTTAAGACCGTTACATTTTAAACATTTACTGGTGGTTAGTGTTAATAACTGTAAACCTCAGTTCAATTCAGATCCTTGTTTTGTATCTGTAAACAAGCTTTATTTACGCTCATTTTCAGTTTTAGTGGTTTGTTGAATTATGGAGATAATAAGTTTGTACCTGCAGAGGTTAGGGGATTTCAGGCTGGTCAGAAACTCAAAGATCTGCTCTTCTTCAGTCCCTAAAGGCATCAGGATAAGCGCTATAAGGTTGCGGTAATTTACTGAGGGAAAAATGTTACTTTGGGTGAAATTTTTTTTCACAAAACTGCAGAGATGCCAAGCAGCAAAGGACTGAAATGAATAATCGAATGTTTGGCTGATGAAAGTGACATCTTATGGTGCGTTCACTGACTGGAGAAGCATTCGGATTTCTGAGTTTGGTCCGATTTCTCTTAAATGTTCTCTCCACTGCAGTGAGCTTCGTTTGGAGGTTCCTCTGGTCCCAGCGGGCCGCTGGTCATAGCGAGTTGGGGAGGTAAAGCGAACACAGCAGCATGTTCTGACCCAGAGCTGGGAAGCGCCTGAAGGCCTCCCAGGCGTCAGAGAATATGTTGTATTTGAGGAAGACGCGGTGGTCCAGGCTGGTGGGGAGCCCGATGTCGCGGCTCATGATGTAGACGCCGTCGTTGTGCAGCGTGCAGGTGAGGTTCAAACCCGACTTGGACGTGTTCTCCTTCAGCTGGATCCACTCCCCCGTCGACACGTTGTACGACTGAACCGACAGGACGTCCTCCGTCTGGCTGGGCCGCCGCTGCCGCCGCCCCGCCTCCAGTTGGTGGGTGTAGCCGCCCACCAGGTAGATGGTGTCCTCCACCGAGAGCATCTGCTGCTTCCGGATGTGGACCGGACACGTCTGGAACACCGACCAGGAGTCGGAGGTGGGGCAGTAGCGAAGCACGTTGGTGTTTCTGTCTGTCAGGAGGGAAAAACGTCGCATCTGAAGCAAGCAGGTAGGGCTGGGAGATACGACTTACAAATAAAACCAGTGATTATTTTCATACCAGATCTGATTTTTATTTTTTTCTGCTTGCTTTCTTTTCTACACTGCAAAACCACAAAATTTTACCAAGTAATTCTGGTCTATTTTCTAGAGCAACTGTCTTAGTTCACTTGAAATGACACAACTAAATGAGAAGTAACTTTTCAGCAACATATAAGTCAATAATTCTTAAATGCTGATGAAAAATTACTAGTTCCACTGGCAGATTATTTCACTTAGAACGTGGGAAAAATTTATTTTTACAAGTTAAATAATCTGCCTGTGCAACTAGCACTTTTTCATCAATATAAAGGAATTATTGACTTAAAATAAGATTTTATATCTTATATTTTGCTGAAAAGTTACTTATAAGTTAGCTTAGTCATATTTCAAGTGTACGAATTTATCTGCACTAGAAACTAGACAAAAAAGTACTTAGTAAAATTTTGTTTTTGCAGTGCAAAGACAAAATGACAGTAAATATTTAATCTCTTCTCTGAATTGTATGACAAAACATTACACGACTTCTTGTTTAGTCATAATATTAGCAGAAAACAAGATCAAATTTAACCAGGAAAAACATCTTAAGACTCAAAGAAAAAAGTTTTAATGAGAAAAAAGCTGACATGGTCCATGACATGACCAGATATTTTAACACATCAGCATCAAATTATTAAGTATTTCTTTGGGTACCAACCTCTTGCGGTGTATCCACCCATGACGTAGATCATTCCCTGACACTCGCAGGCTGAGAACTCAGCCAGAGGGTCAGGCATGGAGGACACACAGGTCCACCAGTCCTGCTCAGGGCCGTAACACTCCACTGTACCCAGACACTGACCTCCCACAGCGTACAGCTTCCCCTGGACAGCCAGCAGCTTGAAGTTAGACCTGGATCAGAAGTCATGAAACAATGGAAATGGAGAACATTGAGCTAATTTTTATTTATCATGCGATTAATTGATTTATTGCTCATTTAACTGTGACAGGCCTACCTCTTCTGGTTGAGAGGAGCCACCTGGTTCCATTCGTTCCTGCAGGGGTTGTAGCAATGCACTGCAGAAATCTCCTGGCTCGTCATCCGGTAGCCGCCCGCTATGAACAGGTAGTTATCCAGGACTGCGGAGCCGTAGCCTCTGACGTTGATCATGTCTTGCGGCAGGTTGTTGGCCAGCGGCTTCCAGCGCTGCTCCACCTCCCCGTACCTGAGCATGGACCAGGGCTCGTCCTGATCCGGCACATCCAGGGACAGACAGGTGAAGTCTCCGATGACCACCAGCGTGGCGGTGCCCTTCATGCGCATCTCCCGGAGCTGGTCCCTCACAGCCGGGGGCAGGCTGCCGAACTCCGGGCGCCGCAGCATGGGGTGGTAGTGGCAGCTCATGTACTTGAGGCAGGCGGTCCTCAGATCGTGGATTCCGTACACTTCAGAGAGGCTGTACAGCTCCACACAGTTTTCCGGCCGGATCTCTGAGCTGAGCAGCTTCAGGATGGAGGTGACCTGCAGGAAGGAGGCAGTCTCGATCAGATCCTCCAGGGTCTCATTGACCACCTGAACTTTGGAGGTGTTGATGAACTCCAGGACCAGCTCCAGGCCCGGCACGCTGAGCCCTTGCAGCTGGACCGAGTCCTCTGTGGACTCCCTCATCCCGGAGCTGTAGAGCGCTCGGAAGTAGTCGCTTTTCTCGATCAGCTTCTTTTTATTCACCTCGTAGGTCCTGTCGTCCACCACGATGGCTATAACCTGGTCCGCTGACATGTTTACCCCCTGCTGTTTGTCAGCCTCCAGGATGAGATTACAGTTCACCGGTGGGGCAGCTCCGTGTCCTGTCTATATATGGTCATGTTCATCCCATAGTTCCCCATGGAGCTGCTCCCGAGCCTGGAAAGCTAACCAGCTAACGGGAAAGCTAACCGGCTAAGAAGTAAAACAGCAACAACTGCCTTTTCCTCAGTTTAGCATTCGCCGGTATTCCTCAAAAAGTGTATCCAGACCGTAAAATATTCGCGGTGTATTATACAGTATTTCAGACATTTAAATTTATTTTTCTTCTAAAATCCATGAGTTCCATCTCGGAGAAAAACTGTCAAAGACCCTAACTGTTTTGATTCTTAACTTCCTCGTTAGTGAATCGACTGCTATTTCTGGCTGTGCATGTGCGCTGCTGCCACCTACCGATATGTTTTTGAATATCAGTTCATTTGCAAATTGACGCGCAGAGATTTAAAAAGTGCTTTGTTGCTTCATAAACCCTAAAAATAATGGAATAGAGGGGGGGAAATTGGCAAAGCAACACAATACTTTTCAAATTATTTAAGTTTTGTTTGCTTCTACGTGAGACGATTTGTGTTACTAAAATATAATGCTAATATTGTTTTAAAGGAATACCTGAAATTGACAAAAGAGAACTACATTTTACATGATTACGTCATAAATCTTACTTAATTTCTTTTCTTTTCAATTTTCCACAACAACAATGGGATTTAATTGAGTGGCATACTATGCTGCGTTGTTAGCTGGGAAGAAAATTGACATATTTCAGTGTGTCCATCCCAGTTCCTTCAGGGTTAAAATCAACTCAGCTGCTCTGTTGTGCTCCTCCTGCTGTCAGTCAAGATAATGCTTGTTATCACAATGGTGGCGTCAGCCTGAGGATTTAAAAGGTTTAACAACGTGATGAGGAAAAGCTCCAACAAATTAACCAGCTTGTGACAGGAAGTTGTGCTTCAAAGTAAAACCCTAAGTTATTCACCATGGTGGTGATTCTCATTCATCTTTGTATGAGTTTTAAATACAACTTAAAATAAAATGCACTGTTGCCACCACAGTAGGTTTTGGAGTGTTGCCACTACTTTATTTATTACGATTTTAGGAAAGAAAAGTACAAATATTTTCCTTCCTACTCCTACCCCGAAGCAGAAAATAAAGTTTTCAGATTTTAAACATTAAATTGTAATAATTATTCTGCTAATTTAACAAATTATTATATTTATTAATATAAATAATAAAGGAGGTAAATAATTACATAAATACACTACTTTCAACCAAAATAAGATTAAAATAGAACAGAAAAACAAATATAAGAATAAATCTGAGGAAAATAAAACAAATTCTTAATAATTAAAAAAATTCTCATAATTTACACTCAGATTGAAAGAAACTAAATGCCTTAAATTAATAATAAAACATTTACATAATAGAAATAGTAATAATAGTAATAATAATTTAAGAATTGTATTAATGCACAGATTTAAAAAAATAAAAGGGGAAAATAATCAAAACATGTGCTCTAATTGAAAATAAAATAAATTAAGTACATAATAAAAATAATACATAATAATTATAATACATTATTATAAGTAATAATAACAGTATAGTAATAGTATGTTATATATTTTTATTATATAATAATGGTAATTATTATATAATTATTATAAGTGTATAATAAAAATACAAGTATAATACAATAATATATTATATAATATAATTATTGTAGTATACTTGTATTATATAATTATATATTATATAATTATAGTTATTATTATTATTATTACATATTCAGAAAATATGTAGATATTAAATATTTTAGTTTAAATCTGTGCTTTTATTTTGAAACCCCAAGCCGGAAGTGCTGCTGTTGTCCTCATGTTCTGCTGGTTTTGCTACAGGAGGAGGACGGCAGGCGCATCAATGACGGGGACAGCAGTCAAATCTTCACCCCTCGGCCTGTTTCACGTCCGCGGCTCCAGGCATCGAGCTGCCAGCTGTTTGTGATCCGAGCTGAGGATGCCGGGACCGGTCCGCACCTCCTGCTTCTCCCGCTGCCTCCTTTCCATCCACCTCCTCCTCCTCCTTCTCCTCATCATCAGCGCTCACAGATCAGCAGCGTCAGCCGATGGAGACTTGCAGCCGTGCGACAAGGTGGGTCTGTCTAGTATCATCTGCTAACGTTGATTTGACTTTAACAAGCACGACTGGGAAGCTCATGTTCCTATAATTAACATTTTATTTTAAAATTCACCTGTATGCGCTTATGTAACAAGAACAACTGCATTTTAATTTGCTTAAGTTGAATTCAGCTTAATTAATTAGCTTAATTAAGTTTCCCTTTCATTAAATCTCATGTCTTTTCAGTGATAGGAATAAAAGGCGTTTAATTCACCATAAACTCGCCGCACTCTGAGAAGACGCGGTCTGCTGGCGTCAGGATATGGAAGACCAAAATTGCCATAAATCACTTTTCTGCAGAATATATAAAATCGGCCAAAAAAAAAAATCTTTTCAACACAGCTGATTTGTGATGAATTAGTGTGGTCTGCACACTAAAATAAGAAAAGTATGGGCAGAGCCTTGCATAATTTTAGAAAACATAATCTAATATGGTGTAATAATGTTGCAAAAAAAATTACAGCATCTGTTCTTGTTGCCTCACGAAACACTATCAGCTTATTAGTGTCCAGATTTAAGCAGTTCAGAAGGTAGTCTTACAGCAGTGCAAAAAGCGTCATCTTGATTATATTTTATCCATATTTTATGGCATCCTTAACCATAAACCAGCAATTTTACGTGACTTTCTACCCATAGAGAGGTAAAAGTGGCAACTGGTGGGACTACTGGCTGAGAGCTCATGGTTTCTAGTCAAAGCAGACCCCAGCAGAATGCTGAAAATATTATTGATTTATTATCCAGCTCTAAAAAAAAAAACCTTCTAATGTTATGTGTGTGTAAACATTGCAGCTGTTGACTGAACCCAACAGGAGGAAATAAATCCTCAGCTGAATTTTTATATTTTTGTTAAATCCTGAAACCTCCTGACTGGTGTGTTGAAGAGCTAAATTTTACCCTTTTGCTTCCTGCCTCCAGTCTCCATGACAGCCAGAGCGAATCACCCTGGAGACCAGTGAAACAGATTAGTCTGTGTCCTTTTTCTCAGTCCTCTATAAACATAAAGGCAGCGCAGGTTGCCTTCTCTACATGTTTACTCGACTTCTTCCACACTCAAAGCAAACCGACGTTCTTATTATTTGTGTTTGGAGATGAGAAACAGATGTTCACCATGAATAACGAGGATCTTTAGTCGTTTGGCAACGCTTTCACACCTGACCTGCTTCTGAACAGCCTCCATGTTGCTGATTAATTTCCCTGCAGACGTTTTGCCATTTATTCGTTCAGATTAATTAGCAGAAAAGTAAATATCCAGCACTGCTCTGCTGCAGTCTGGGAAGTCGGACACATAGAAAACCAAGCGTTTGTTTGGGTTTCATTGGACGACTCTAAATCAGCTGTGTTTTTTTTATTACTATTATTTTTATTTCCTTGATTTGTTTGGAATGTAGTTCAATATTTTCAAAGATTTGTTGCAAAGTTTCCACAGATCCTGCAATCAGAATACATTTGTTCTACCTAAAATGGTAGTTCAGATTCTGAGCTTTCTGTAGGGAGCGGATATAAAATATTTTAAAGTCTATTAGAGTTCAGATGAAAGAGATTTCTTCAATATGTTCAGGATTAATATTTGTTGAATCAAAGTGAAAAATATGACATATTGTTAATCACTTGTCTCGTCAGATGGATTAATAACTAAAGAAAATCTACAGGACATTTCAGTGAAAACTTCTCACAACAGGAGTAAAATACAAGAGAGCATAAAAACATATCAGTCTTTGAAATTATTTTCTTAAAATTATGGCTCTTACATAAATAAATACTGCAGACCTCCGTTAGCATGTTAAATGTTAGCATGTTAAATGTTAGCATGTTAAATGTTAGCATGTTAAATGTTAGATGACTGTAGAATTGGTAAAAAACTGAAAAAATGCAATGTTTTGAAAGAGTTGCTTGTAGAAATGCTCTTTTCTCCAAAAATAAAATGACAGTAGCACTAAGGTTTGCAGATACAAAACTTCGGGAACAAGTTGTTTTTGTTTTTGTTTTTTTGGGACAAATGAGACCAAAACTATAAAAAGCACAATACTCTGGGGAACCAGTTTTGAAAACTTGTTGTGCTACAACCAATTAGAGTTGGGTCAGAGAGTATTTCAGTAAATGTTCATTGAGTTTGCATGTCGAGCGACAAATAGCTGTCCTTGACAAGAACCCGATTGACCTGCAGTCATGCTCTTGATGGACCCATTAGAGCTGCAACTGCTGGTCGCCATGGCGATCAGGGTCAGTCACCAAAGGCCATTCATGATTTATTTTATTTTTTTTGTATGATCAGCTTTTCTAAACATTTGGTCATGCATACTATTATCTTCCTACATGTTTCCAGCGTTGTTCTCCAAATCTCTTTCAGTCTGTTACTGAATATGTAAACAACCAAAAGGTAGGGTTCATAATTAATGCTTTTCTAAAAGAAATAAATAAATAAAGGTTACATTTCTCTCTAGAATTAAAGCAGAGTTTTAATTTGAAGTGCAAACAAAGATTTTCTAGAAACTGGGACTATAAAGTCTTAGATTAGCATGATCTTTTCTTCTTCTTTCTGAAGTTGGTGCCCTTTAAACCTAAATTTCAAGTCTCTGCCTGGATATTTTTGACGTAAAACATGAATGGCGGGAGTGAAATTACTGTAATAAACCCATATTGCTTGGAAAGCGTAACAAAACCAACAGCAGCTAAGCTTCCCCTTTCAGATCAGATTTGTTTTTGGGAGCCAGTTGTGATGATTTATATCCACCTGCTCTGCTAACTCGGCTGAAATTAGACGGATTATTGATCGTTTTGTGTTTTTATGTGTGGTTTCCACAGGGAGATTACTACTACCAGTACACAGAGTGTGACAGCACTGGGTCAAGATGGCGGGTCGCCATCCCGCTCAGTCCAGGCTCCTGTTCGGACCTCCCCTCTCCAACCAGAGGAACAGACTGCTGTGAGCTTCAGTTTTTACTCTTCAAACTTGTTTTGTATTCACATAAAGATAACCTTTGTCTTCTCTTCAGCCTTCTCCTGTCCGGCTGGGAAGTTTCTGGAGATGTCGTCCCAGTTGTGCACGCCGTGTGCAGCCGGTTCTTACTCTCTGGGCAGCGGACTGAGGTTCGACCAATGGGACGCCATTCCTGCAGGCTTCACGAGCCTGGTCAGCTTTTTGGATCCTGGACCAAATGGAGAGGACATTCAGGCCTGTAACAGGTAACCAAACATTAAAAGGTGTTTTCAATGTGACCTATTATGCAAAATTCACTTTTTACACATTTTTGTACATCCATTTGGGTCTCAACTGCTTTTAAAAACATCCTAAGCACTTAAAA